ATGTTGGTTACTTGGTTCGCAGTTGCGTATTGCTATGAATAAGTAGGATTTCAGATCAGAGTAAGAGAAAATAGTTCCCACAAAATCAAAACACAGTTAACTGAACCTGTTCTTTTCTAGTCCAATAAGGAATGCAGCTTCAGCCACAGCAGACAAAAGGCTTCCTTTTTTAGCATCTTCATGCCAAACAGCATACTCACTAACAAACGCCTGTAAAGCAAATAGTTCAAAGTTGAGCATTCGGTTGTTAAACGAATAAATCAATAATCCATAAATAATTTACTAAAAATCATAACCAAAACCTTTGGACCGGATCGTGGTGCCTTATCGAACTTGGTAGACTTATAAAACATGTCCTTAGAATTTGTATAAATCTGATTAAAAAAAATAAAATAAGAATAAGTGGTCAAACCAATATCCAAAATTAATATTTTTTGAAATTGAAAACAAAAAAAATGAAAATAATAAGAATAAATGAAATATAATAATTGAATCCATCACGTGTTAAAGATTTTTAAGTTAAATATAAAGCAAAATTGGACAGCTGGTTTATGTATTTAACATATACATAAAATATTAGCCAATCCATTTGGCACATGTAATAATAATAATAATAATCATAATAATAATAATAATAATAATAATAATAATAATAATAATAATAATAATAATAATACAGGTGCATACCTTGATAATTAGAAAATCTACAATCTTCATTTCCAACAGCAACATATCTCAAGTCAAATGGTTGAGGATGTCCCATGGCAGCTCTAAGAGAGCCCCATTGAGATGTGGGAGAACCTCTAGCAAACTCAATGCCATCGAGGGCTTCCTGTTAATTAGTTTAAAGGTGTAAAAGTAATATAGTTAATATGAAATTTCATAAAAAAGAAAATAAATTAAGAAAAAAGATGAAAGAGAAATAGAAAGAAAATTATACTTGCACAAAAGGTAAAATGTCAGCTGTTTTAATTTGGTCGTGATGGCTGATACCTAAAAGAGATATTTGATTAATTAGAAATCCAAAGAAAAATGTTAATAGTGAGTAGGGTAAACTTAAGAACAAAAATAAATATACCATTGTTAAAGACCCATATTGGTAATGCACCAAGATCCTCAGCTAACTGCTCATGGAACAAAAGATTAGTTTTACAATTAATGGGGAAAACATAAGATATTTTAGAAATTAAGGATAATTAATAGTTACTTACTTGGAGGCCCTCAAAATAACCCAATCCATCATCAGTCCAATAATTCCAAACATCATTTAAGTGTCCCGGTCTATCCTCCCATGGTCCAACCGTTTCTTTCCACCGAAATGCGTTTTTAAGATAATCTCCTTCAACAAAACAACCACCTATAATGCATGCATGATGCAACAGTTAGCAGAAAAAGAAAAAGAAAATAGTGTTAGACGAACTATTTAATAATTACATACGTAAATTCTTGGAAAATAGATGGATACTACACTTTCCATTAAAGTGGGTAAAAATAGTTTACCGAAAGAAAAATAAAAGGAAAAAGAAGTGGGTAAAAATAATATAAAATAAACTTATAATTAACTTTGACATATACCGGGAAATCTAAGAAATCTTGGCTTCAAATCTGCTACCATTTGAAAAAGGTCCTTTCGGAAACCATGACCCTGTGCCATGAGAATATTAATGAATTGATGCACTTAAATGGAACGAACAAAAAAATAAAAATAAAAAAATGCATGAATTGGCAACATTCCTACGTGCATACCATATAAGTGTCCATGGGCATAGCAGACACTTGGTCTAACCAAACAACCCCTCTAGTCTTTGTTGTTATTTGAAGGCTTGAATTATGATTTGTAGCCCTTGCTTTCAGTATAGTCTCCATCCTTCTCCACTCTGAAACGTAATGTCCAAAGGCCCTGCCAACATTCATCAATATAATTAGTAATCAATTACTTATAATATATATACAATGACAATGTCATGATCTCCGAAGGATGTTCTCCTCTTACCTGATTTTTCTTGAAGCCAATTTTACACCATCGTCAGATCCGACCAATGAAACTCTTAGATCAATTGCATCAAGTGCTTTGACGTAGAATACTACTTTATACTTCTTCCCTTTCTCAATATTCTGATTATAAATATTAGAAATGATTAGAAATAAATTTTTAATTTTTTTCTTTTTTTGGTCAAATTCATATGATGAAAGATATGATATGACATTTGTAATGTCCCACATCGGTTGGAGAGGGGAACGAAGCATGCCTTATAAGGGTGTGGATACCTCTTCTAGTGTGAGGCCTTTTGTGGGGTGTCCCAAGAAACAAAACCGTGAGCCCGAGGGCAAAGCGAACAATATCATGCTACAGGGTTTGAGGCTGTTACATTTGGTATCAGAGCCTGGCCCTGGACCGGTGTGTACAGCGGGGGCGCTGTATTCCCAGTGGGGGAGGATGTAATGTCCCACATCGGTTGGAGAGGGGAACGAAGCATGCCTTATAAGGGTGTGGATACCTCTTCTAGTGTGAGGCCTTTTGTGGGGTGTCCCAAGAAACAAAACCGTGAGCCCGAGGGCAAAGCGAACAATATCATGCTACAGGGTTTGAGGCTGTTACAACATTACTCACCATGCCCCAATAACCAGGATTAGAGATACCAACTCCACCAGGAGGACAAGATAAGCGCCCTTGGCAAAGAACCTCCATACGTAATGCATTCTTATTGCGTTCAAAGCAAGAGGTACGATCAGTTGATACGAGTATCGAAGATTGGTCTCCAATAATTGACCATGGATAAATATTTGAGGAGTCATTGGTGCCTCCAGCTTCAAATCCTGAAATATAAATATTTTTAATAAGACTTTTCTTTGAAATGTTGAAATCTCATTGAGCAACATTACTGAAAAGACAACATGAAACCATGAGCAAGTGTTTTAGGACATGAAAATGATCGACCTCTATTACTCACAAGCTCTGCCCACAATCCGCCAGCACCAGCATGATTGATCTCCTGCATGTAAAATATATTCAAGCAGTCCATCACTTTCTAAAATTTGAAATGTGTTCCAATTGCACTAACACACACTCTAATCAACAACAGGTAAAATCAAGATTCACATTATCCAAAAAATGTAAAAAAAAATAATGATTAATAATAACTTACCTCATAGAATACTCCAAAAAATGTGTCCGGAATTTGCCTTCCAGATCCTATGGAACCATCTACAACAAGTGTTGAGGTCAGGTTACCATCAGCATAGCATTGAAATATAAGAGAACACACTGCCAAAGAGTAAAGAAAAGTCTTATGAGAAGAAGAGGAAGACATTGTTTCTAGTATCATCTGAACAATTTGATATTTCCTTTCATCTTTGATCATTTGTATATTTATAAAGGAAATAAGATAACATGAGATGAGGAGGATGACGTGTTAATAAACTATATTAACATAATTAGTCTGCAGACAGGATAAGAGAACTCAACCGACTCTAATTTTAGATCAACTTAAAATGTTCTAGTAACTTATTTCAACCAGACAGGATAAGAGAAAAGCAAATGGCTGTTTATGTTTTTTTTGTTGTGTTTTTGTAATGTTATTACAGTTAGCTTTTTAATAAATTTAAGAAGTCACGAAACTAAGTTCTATATAGGAATCATATTTACGTCAATAATAAGATTAATTATTTTGAATTGATACGATTACTAAAATTGTTAAAACAATCAAATCCATTTCATTTCAAGATATCATGTATATCTAATTTATTAAGTAAGTAATTTAATGTAGGATAATAACAAATTGAATAAGAGATTAAGAATGGAAAATAATATAGCCTAATAGGATGCACATTAGATAAATAATCTAATAAGATTATATTATACTGTAACTATATAATTTAGCATGGAATAGAATATGGCCTAATAATAGGATGCACATTAGATAGATAATCTAATAAGATTATATTATACTATACATTATATAATTGAGAATGGAAAATAATGATGTTTCTCTTTATCCATCCGCTTACCAAAAGAAAAGAAAAAAAAGATGGAAAAGAGTATGGCCTAATAGGATCCACGTTAGATAAATAATCTAATAAGATTATTTTAATACTATATATTATATATTTGACGTAAACTGGATAATGTGAGGAAAAACAAAGAAAGATATTCTTCGAAACAAACTTTTATCTAATTTTTTTTCAAAATTATTCTTTTAACTTATTTATACTTTAAATATTATTTCAAATTATTAAAAAAAATTAAATAGTTGTGATTTTAAATAAAAAATATTAAAATACGTTGGACTAAAAATCCACTTTGAATTATTTTTACGTTTAGTTTAATAAATTTACAGAAACGAAGAAATTATTTACACATATTTTCTTTTCGAATTACCTTAAACTATTAGTAATTAGTGCAATAGATAGATACATTTGAAATTTGTTTAAAAGTGATTGGGACCCATACTAAGCAGGTTAATGGGTCCAGCCCAATAACACAACCCAAGAGACTGAACAATGAAAACTTAAAAGGATAAAAAAGCATGTTTATCTCGCGTATACTTAAATGACTATATACATTGAGTAAGGATATTTTAACTACCAAAAATTCTTATTACTAATTTACTACCCATCAAGTAACACCCTGTATAAATTCGGTAGTGTTATCATTACACCGTATTAAGCTACGCTTAATTAAAAATGCAGAATATTCTTTTTCTATTCAATTATGACGTCATTATCAATTACCCACTTGACTACTTAATCAATTTCATAAAATATCGCCTGAATGTAAATTGCAATAAGACATATACTGAAATACCTCAATATATAAATAAAATGAGTATCTGAATCACAGATCTACATCACGTAGTCCGGACAATATCCTGATACATTATTACAACTCCAAATCAAACTAAGACATAACTAGTCTATGTGTCATGGACAATCCTCATGCTCACCAAATCAACAGCGTCTCAACAAGATAATCATAAACATAAAATGAAGCTCAAAGCATAAAAGCAGCATGCATATCCAACATCCAACAAGTCAGCATATAATATCATCAATATCTAACTCAGCTTCGGCCTCCTGCCGCCTGAGGTCTCAACATTACCTGATCCTGAAATAGGCATTCGCCAAACGTGGGTTGAGATCTCTAAACAAGAAATCTCAGTAAGACAAGGGGTCCTCAAGGATCTTCCACCCCAAGCTCACTTACATGTGCAATATAAGTTCTAAAAGCATTTATATCAATATCAGTTCCAAAACTATGCAGTGCAACAGATATTCATGCCATGGGTGTCTAAACTATTCTACTGGCCAGAGAAATGCAGGAATACGTCTATACCTACATGTAGTACAAGGAACACCGCTTGCACCTCACCATATTGTATGTACTACACACTTAGGCTTACCGTATAAGTGGCACACCACACGCATATCAACAAGGCACTAGCATATAACAGCTCAACAGCATTTCCAAAACATCAAAAGCATGTAACACAGCATGCATATACCATACCCCCATGGGACATGGTGGAACCACAACATGGCTAAACCGAGGACACAAAAGCTTACCTCGCAAGCTAAAAACCCAAACCAAGGTCCACACTAGCTCGAGGTCCACAAACAACACAATCACAATCTGTTTTAGACCAACAATTATATCAATATTCATATTCTAATATTTTACCATGTTAAACTAGACATCTTGAGGTTTCCAACGATATACTTTATGTCTTAATCGGAGTTGTATAACTCCAGTTATGTTTTACGCAAGGTGACTGCTGCAAACAAAATTTCCAGCAACCAAAACGCGACTTAGAATAGACACTGCGATCAAACCACTCATCCAATGGCTACGAAAACTCAATTTGTAGCCCTATGTGTTAGCTTCACATAGGTCCAGACGGAACTCAATTTGGAGCTCTGTAGCCGAAGATATCAAATGTTTACTAAAACAGGTTCGTTGCTGACCAGACCAAAATATCGGGATATCTCCAACTGAATATCGGGATATCTGATATCCGGATTTTTCCAACCAAATATCGGGATATCCGATATCCGAATATTTCCAACCAAATATCGGGATATCAGATATCCGGATATTTCCAACCAAATATCGGGATATCAAATATCCGGATATTTCCAAACAAATATCCGGATATTTCGCGTCAGAATGCATATTTTGTATTTCGCGAGATATCAATCCCAAGGGTTCATTTTTACCGATTACAGAAACTTAAACATGCATTTCTAGGTGTGTTTAAGCTTACCCACCCTTAAGTTATTAACTTAAGCTTGTTATATGCATCAAGGTTCCATTTTTAACCACTTAAACTCATGATCAAGGTTAGGGAAGCTTACCCAAGGTTCAAACTCAGAAAAAGACAGTTCTTGGAGCTCACCAACAGTCTCCAAGGGTTCAAAAAGAAAGGTGCACGAAAATGGTACCAAGGTGGGTCTTTTTCTTCACAAGATAGCCCCTTGGATCAACCAAATGCCATCCCAAAGGCTCCCACAACACCCACCATGAAGTCAGCCCCACATACACTTAGAAACAGAACTTACAACTCAGAAAATGGAGCACTCACACCCTCACAAGGTTGCTCTCAAGTGTATAGCAAGCTAAAGATGAAGAAAATGCTAGGAAAGGTGAAGACTTGGGACATTTCCAAGCAAGGGAGGCTAAGGAATGGAGAGGCAGCAGCTGGCCCTTCAGAAAACATACGTAGGAGGCACCAAAATAAACCTAGGATCATGTGCCACTCCTATATATAGCCTAATTAAGTTTTAATCGCACTATATTAGCGCTGATAGCTACGCTTAGAATTTTAATCCCAAACTTGGGGTTCTAAACCTACTCAATTTTACAAGAATTATCATATTTTTATTATATTTTTCTAAGCACCTTTCCGATACGCGCTTTTCATAGCCAGTATCAGTTTCTGGCAACAGTTCTTATTATTTTGACTTGAAACTTGTTTTACATGTCCTACATATCATTCTACTAATTATCGTACACTTATTATAATTTTCTGGGATACTTTTCGGTACGCATTTATACCGACTAGCAGAACCGATATCTGCACTTTTCTTCCGAAAAGCGACTTTCAGCATTCTTAATCACTTACTATGATTATTAGAGCCTCATAATAATTATTAGGGTCCGTTATGGAATCATTTCCTAATTTTGCATAATTAATTAATTAAATACCTAATTTAACGGTGCAGGTTCTTACACATCACATCACCCTTGGATCAAAGAGAGAATGTTAAAAAGTTTTTAAAGAGAGAGAAAATGTTAATCTAATGGTGATTAGATAGGTAGTGAAAGTAAAATGACCTTGAAGGTCGAGGCATGTGATAGGGAAAAACAAAATTTTTCGCTAGCGGAACACACATGCATATCAAGATACGTGCTTTAAGACGTATATTATACCTTGTTCGTGAAACTTCAGGATGATCAAGGTCAGGTCTGAAAGGTTCAAACCCTCTAACGTTGATCCACACCACCCGCGTCTAGATGCAAGAACTCCTTCTTGTAGAACCACCAATTGATCACCACAATGAGGCTTGCTATGCACTCAATGTATGAAAGAGGAGGCTAGGCAAATGTGTTTAGAAGAGTGATGTTTTCAGAGAGAAAAACCTCACAAGGTGGCGCATGGAAGGAGGAGAGAATGGCTAGGTCTTTTTTTTTTCGAAAACCCTAAGGAGGAACACACTTGTAACACCCCGTGTATACTCGGAATATTAACATTACATCTTATTAAGCGGTGCTTAATTAAAAATGCGGAATATTCTTTTTCTTTTCAATTATGACGTCATTATCAATTACCAACTTGATTACTTAATCAATTTCATAAAATATCGTCTGTATGTAAATTGCAATAAGACATCTACTGAAATACCTCAATATATAGATAAAGTGTGTATCTAAATCACGGCATTACATCAAGTAATCCGGACAATATCCTGATACATTATTACAACTCCAAAAGACTCAAGACATAATCAAGACATAATAATACTATGTGTCATGGACAATCCCCATGCTCACCAAATAAACATAGCAAACAACAAGTCTCAACATCAAACTCCAAAACATAAACTGAAGCTATAAGCATAAAAGCAGCATGCAAATCCAGCATCCAATCATGGCAGCATAATATAACAGCAATCTAACTCAGCTCCGGCCTCCTGCCGCCTGAGGTCTCAACATTACCTGACCCTGAAATAAGCATTCCCCAAACGTGTGGTGAGATTATTTTAATAATTGAGAATGGAAAAGAATGATGTTTCTCTTTATCCATCCGCTTACCAA